GGGAGGGAGGGGGGGGGGGTTGGGTGAGTATTCGTGCTGCTCGGGAAAACGTGGCAACAACGGTGGCTTGCGCTGACGCCATGGGTTCATTGCTAACCTATCTGATTAGACTCTTTTCTGTAGATATAGAGAGACGGATTCGTTGGGTCATGTATATTACAAAACACAATACACACAGACCAAGAAAATAAAAAGCAAGAGCGATAAGGCAGGGGGGTCACCGAACAGCGGCGAGTGTGGATGGTGGGCTGGGACCGGTTGGGCGAGTCTAACCATCTCTCGACACCGTCCACGAACCGCGAACAACACCTTTGCAAACCAAAGAAAAAAAAGAGAAAAAAATCGCGTACGATCGGACAAACGGGCATGTGCAGCCAGCCATCAGAGCACCCTGTGTTAAACAGTGCGGCGGACTCCTTCCAAAGAGCAACTTTGCTCATTCTCCTTCAAAATTTCATGCTTTCATATCTGGACTGCTGTAACGGGTAATATCGATTCGAGTTTTTTTTTTGTTTATTGGAAAGCGGAGGTGCTCGCCACAACCATCGCCAGCGCCAACAAGCACACCTATAGCTCGACACAAAATCGCCGCCAACGTGACGGTTTTAAATTTGAAGACAACAACAACAACAACAACAACAACAACAACAGCTCCCCACCCCTCACAGCAAAGCGGCAGAACAAGCCCCTCACAGCGAAGCAGCAGAACAAGAGCAAGGAGAGATTTGGACCTCACCGTCGCGTAGGCGTCCGATCGACCGACCCGCTTGACAGCGCCGCTGTTAGCCTCCACGTACACTACATCTCCGACGGCCACTCCCTCCTTCTGCAGAGCCTCGTAGATGCTCGGGTCCAGTCTTCACGCACGGGGGGGGGGGGATGCAAATGTTTTAGCCGTTAGACCATTGAAAAACGCGTCCTCGAGAGGACGGGGGGGCGGATACCGTTTGCTGTGCCCCCAACCAACAGGTGAAAGACGTCGCACACTTAGCCTCATGTGTAGGTCATGGTGCACCGTCCGTGACACCCGCTTGAAGGACAGTTATTAGCTATGAAGGAGGCATTTTTGAAAAAACGGGTGATTTTATCATGGTGGCCCTTGCGTGTTGCCGCCACGACAAGTGGTCGTCTCTGGCCAAAGAATCGCCGCGGGTATTCGACGGTCGGAACGGTTAACACGAGTGAAGACAGCACCATCAGCAACAACGAAGACAACAACAACAACAACAACAACAACAACAACAACAACGAAGACAACAACGACAATAACAACAACGAAGACAACAGCAACAACAACAACAACAACAACAACAACAACAACAACAACAACAACAACAACAACAACGAAGACAACAACGACAATAACAACAACGAAGACAACAGCAACAACAACAACAACAACAACAACGACAACAACAACAACGAAAACAACAGCAACAACACAAGAGTCACCAGGAAGACGATATATACCACTCAATCCCGATCGCGACTGGGCCACACTCGACTCTACCCCTCCAACTCCGTCATCGCTGCCTCCACATTTCATTCTCCGCCCTCTCCACCTTCACCTCCCTCTTTCCACCACCCCCCTTCTCTCTCTTCCTCCCTCTCTGTCTCTTCCTCTCTCAACCCCCCCCCCCCCCCCCCGTTTTCGGTGCTGGCTGGTGTTTTGGCCCCGGCCGGCGCTTCTCGGGGCTGCCTAGAGGCTCGGGGGGGCTTGAGGGAGATGACAGAGGGGGGAGAGGGGCGGGGGGCCGCGGCGGCGCGGGTTCTCCGGGACCGTTGGGGTTGCCTCCGGCGCCTGGCCCCCAGAAAGCCTTTTGGGGAGATTGGCGCCGCGGGCAGTTGGGCGGGTGGCGGGGGGGGGGCGTAGGAATCGGTTGGGGGTGGAGGGGAACAGGCAATTGGGGGGGGGTGGAAGGGAAGAGGAAGTTCTTGGCGTTTTTTCCAGACCAAGAAGGGA